GCTCAGGAGGTCCCCCGCCGTCTAATGGAGAAACTCCCCCTGCTCAGCCGGCGGCACGGGGCGCTCGCACCCTTCTCCCGCACCCCCTGGCGCCCCGCGCCCCGGCTCACCGTGGGCTGGTACTTCTCACAGTTCTCGCACCAGGCTTGCGTGTTCTGCTCCAAGCAGATGCTTCGCTTCAAAATTTGGGCAAACTCATAATCTTTGACTGGCTTTTCTGACGGGAGAAAGGAGAATAACGTCACCTTCCGACACACACATCTTTACCGGTTTAGCTCAGCCAAACCTCCGGGGTTTTCCTTACAACCACCAGCGAGAAGGTCAACCCCCAAATCTGCCTTTCTGCAGCCAAAAGCTCGGCTGGGTGGGGAACCACACCCCCTCGGCTCTGGGTCTGCCGCAGCCCGCGCCAGACCACTGCAGAAGCTCCTCACCGCAGGTGTCTGCCACCTGGAGAATGCACGGCTCATCCATAGGGATAACAAACCCCACCCGGCCAGGGAAACGCAGCAGCGTTGAACGTGAACGTGCCAGGCCCTGCCCTGCCCAACGCTGCCCGTTACCAGCGCTCTCGGGGTAGGAGAGGGTGAAGAGCAGCGTGGAGGACACGCGGACGGTTTCCTTGCCGCAGCGGCACATGCTGCAGTTCTCCATCTCGCAGCTGAACAGCTGCCCGATAACCGAGTCCCCCGACGACCCAAAGCTGCTGGAGAAAAGGAGCAGCAGGGTTTATCCCGCGGCTCCGCGAGTTCCCGCACAGCCCTCGGGGCAGACCGGGGTGGCGAGAACGCTCCTTCCCGAGGGACGGATGGGGCTGCTGGGAGCTGCCTTCCCCTCCCTGGTTTGGTTCCTCCCCGTCCTGTCCCCGGGCCAGGGACTTACCTGCTGCCAGCCCCCCGATACGCCTGCGGTCCCTCCTGCTCCTGGGTTTCCTGGTGCAGCTGAGTAAGGATGAAACGGTTCCAGCTCTGAATCAGCCGCCCCAGGTTCACCTTCCCTGTGGCTTCGTCCGAGTCAGCCAGGATCAGCCCCAGCGCCGAAGCCTCTGGGATTGTACGGAAAGCCCGCAAAAAGTTGCTTCCCTGGGGATGGGGCAAGAGCGGCATGTCACCGAGGTCAAGTGACAGGAGTTTCCACCCTGGCTGATGCCATCACCCGGCACCACCCGGCTCCGGCTCCTCTGCGATCTCCCTGACCCTCCCAGCCTGCCCAGCCGCCGGCCTCACGCCACGCCAGGGCTCACCACCGACCTGGCAGGGGTCTCCTCGGGACAGGTCGAGCATGTGGAAGAGCAAGCCCAGCTCACAGCCCAGGCAGAACTCCTTCTGGCACAGGTGGTTCTGGACCAGGCAGCGGACCGGCTCCAAGAAATACAGCACCTGGCAGAGCCGGAGCAGTCAGGGGAGGTGCTAGGGGCCGCGGTGGTCCGGGCAGGGCTGGGGTGTCTCCCACCTGGATCATGCAGTTGCAGTAGGCGTTGGGGATGTGGGGCTCCAGGCCCGCGAACAGCGTCTTGTTGTAATGCTTGAAGTCAAAGTCCTCCAGCCCCAGCTTGGAGTATTTGATCGTGACCTGAGGAGAGACGCAACGTGTTCAACAGGCGCCTTCCCACACCGTGGGACACCGGCACGCCGCCGAGGCGCTCCCCACGGAGACGAGGGCAGGTGCTTAGGGCCAGGCAGGTCCTTCACCCCAGGCAAGCCCCACCTGGGGACCCCCATGCAGTCCCCACCATGCCCCACGGCAGCCCTGGAAGACTACCACCTTCCTGTACTTCTTGGCCACCATGTAGAGATGTGGCTCCTCTTCCCGCCCGATCGGGGACTCGGGGACTTGGCTGAAGCTGTCGAACT